TATGTGGAAATATGTGTGTGTTTGTATGTACGCATGCATATATGTATATATACATATATGTATGTATGTGTGTGTATGTTTGTATGGGTGTATCTGCATTTTTGCAGGTGCATGTATAACTTGTACATATCTTTCTTTTGTAAATGTAAATTTGTCTGTTATTGTGTAAATACTTACGCTGTTGTGTACTTCACACACACAGAGTAATGCCAAACTGCCTTTCATTGTTCTTGTAACAGTGACAATAAAAAGCTATTCTATTCTCTTCTAAATGCAGCGCATATTTTTTGGTTTAATTCTATCTAGGTCACAAGAACAGCTCTGTTTCAGCAGTGCTGCTGTAAGATAGGAAGGAATTTCCAGTTTACATAAGGGCTTACTTTAAATATTGAAAGTCTCACTAAGATTCAGTGATTCTAAAAACTGAGGGTAATCTTGTTTTGTCTTGCTTTGGCTTTCAGAATCATCTTGTCCAGAGGGGACATCAACGTTTTAGTTGATTAGTTTTTGTTTTTGTTTTTTTCACCAGGTTCTTAAATCATGACCTTCTTAAATGTTATCACATACTGTCACTAAAATATCTAGATTTTGCACCAAATCCTTAGTGTTTTATGTGATAAATTGTCACTGTTTTTTTTTTTTTTTGTGCACAGTAGTTGCACAACAGTGTTCTAAACATGAGGAGGAACAATCAGTGCAATTAAATTCTCAAACACTAGATTATTAAATCTAAAATATTTTTGGTCTGGGTAAAATGCTGCTTCAAAAACTCAAAAGATCAAATTATGGTATTCCATTGTAGCGGTATTGCACTTGCAGTGTGTAAAACCAATAAATATGCATGAATTCTATTTTATTTTATTTTATTGCTGTTGTTCTTCAGGATACATACTAACTACTGTCTTTTTTCTTCTTTCTTTTCTTGGTGCATTTCCTGGATGAATCTTCCACTTCAATCTAATAGGTAAGATTATTTTGATTTCCCCTTTTCCCTGAAATCTCACCCCAAACACTAAAATCCTTATCATTGCAATATACAGCCACAATTAATATGAAATTCACAGTTCCCTTTACACAGTACATGATAGTATTTCACCACAACCCATGATCTACATTGACACTAGATATGAAATGTTATGAGTGTTTATACAACAAATATCCCCAGAAATGTTTCATTGAAAGTCATATTGGTGCAGGACTGAGACTGCAGGTAGCAGTCTTGAAACACAGCAGCAACATTACTCTAGTTTGTGTGCGTTGTGTAGTTCTACCCTAGGCTTTATGCTACATGAATATTAATGTGAATATTTCTGGCTTCTGCTGTGGAGTCTTTGCCTAAATAATGCTCAATCATGGTGCACAAAATATTTTTGCTCTTCAGCAGGATGCTAATATGTGTGAGGAGGGAAACATGCAAGAAAGTATCAAAACCTATCAAATTTATCCATTCCTTTCAGCTCTACAAAAAAGAAAACAAACCAAAAACAAACAAACAAACATACTGCTCTGAAATGTGTCATTATTTTTTCATGCCTCTGGATGAGTGTAGCAGTACTTTCAATGTTGATTCCACTGCTCAAATCTAGGTCATTGGACTCATCAGTTAGATTAGATCAGATTATCTATCCGTCTATCTATCCACTCCTTCTCTACTGTATCTTTGTATACATTTGTTCATTTATCTATGTAACCATCTGTCAGCCTGCCTCTCTCTGCAGATATGCAGCTCAGTATGGTTTTACACAGAATCTGTGTGTTTGTCCACACTTCAGTCTCAACATAATGTTTGTCAAATGAATTCGCTCAATCTCTTATATTTTTTAGTCTGCTGCAAATATTGTATCAGAAAACGTTGTTGTTGCTGTCAGCCCACTCCATTCACGGCAAATTTTGGACCTACTTAGGTGGTCATAAGATGACTTGTAAACAGAGATAATAATAAAACAGACAGTATATTAATCACCCGTTATGGAAAAAATATGCTTCATTTATTTAACTTATTCGTTTATCTTTTTATTTATGCTTATCGAGATCTTATCGAGATTTTGCTTTCTTTTGCATGGGTGTTGCTAAAAAACAATGTATGTAGTAGTCAGGAAAGGCTAAACAGTGGAGCATCAGTGCTCAGACACCTGCCGTTTTAGTTCATCACTGCTGGTGGTGCTGTTGCCTAAGCAGACTTGTGCAATGCGTATTAAAGACACAAAGTCACCACCCGTCTTTAAAGGAGATAGGCGATGGCTATTAAGCTGTCGTGGCTTTGGGTAAATTTAAAAGAAGACTGTACACACTGCAAAGCCTCTATGATAAATAGCTGGAGCTTTCTGTACCGATCACTGTGTTGTTTTGGACCTGATATTACTGGGAAGAAATGGATAATATGAAGCACAACGGTACCCTGCGTCAGTGGAACGTCTCCATTTTGCTTTTCTTTGTGGTTGCTGCTGTCAATGGACAAATCCGCTATTCTATACCAGAAGAGATGAGGAAAGGACTCTTTGTCGGGGACATTGCAAAAGACCTGGGCTTGGATGTCAGACGGTTGGTATCTGGTCGAGCTCGACTGGTAATAGAAGATGATAATCAATATGTCGTGCTGAACCAGAACAAAGGCCATATCGTTGTCAATGAAAGAATTGACAGAGAACAATTATGCGCTAAGAAATCTCCGTGCAGCTTTAGTCTGGAAATTGTTCTTGAAGAGCCACTCGAATTGTTTTCCATTACTATCGAAATACAAGATATAAATGATCATGCTCCCGTTTTCCCAAAAAAAGAAATAAAATTAGAAATTAGCGAATCGACGCCGACTGGGACTGTGTTTTTGCTTGATAGTGCAGCTGATCCTGACGTAGGGACAAACTCACTGCAGAGTTATTCTTTAAAAGCAAACGAACATTTTGTTCTCAAACAACATACTCGAGCAGATGGGAGTAAATATGCCGAAATGGTGCTTCAGAGTGGTTTGGACCGCGAGAAGCAAAGCAAACATGCGCTCATATTAACGGCTGTCGATGGTGGCGAGCCGCAGATGTCCGGAACGGTAAAAATACACATATCTGTGCTGGATGCAAATGACAACTCGCCCGTTTTTACACAGTCCATATACAAAGCCTCTGTATTGGAAAATGCTTTACGAGGCACAATTATTGCCACAGTCAGTGCAGTAGACGCTGACCAAGGTTACAATGGTAACGTTACATATTCATTCACACACCTAGAAGATGGTTCCGCTTGTCCTTTTGAAATAAATTCCAACACAGGTGAGATTAAACTAGTCGGGGATATCGATTATGAGGCTTCTCCAAATTACGAGATAAACCTCCAAGCAAAAGATCCATGGGGTGTCACAGGAGCCAGCAAGTTAGTGATCGAAATAGTAGATGAAAATGATAACAGTCCAGTAATCACAATGGCTTCCTATTCGGGGAAGATTTCAGAAGATTCTCCTCCTGGCACAGTTGTGGCGTTAATTAGTGTCCAAGATAAAGATTCTGGAAAAAACGGACAGGTGCATTTAACTATAGATGAACATCTGCCTTTCAAAATTAAATCTTCCCTCAGAAACTATTATACATTAATCACTGCGCAAACTCTCGACCGAGAGAAGCTTCCCACGTACAACATTACTCTCACTGCCACTGATGAGGGCTTCCCAGTATTATCGAACAAAAAATCCGTCTATTTAGAAGTTAGCGATATTAATGACAACGCTCCAGTTTTTAGTCAAAGTCTTTACAGCGCTCAGGTAACGGAAAACAATTCTCCAGGTGTCCCTCTGTTGCAGATTAGTGCTACTGATTTGGACCAGGGCCAGAATGCACGTATATCATATTTTCTTTTTGAAGACGAGCTGAATGGAAATCCGGTATCCGCATATTTCTCCATTAATACAGAAAGTGGAGTCATTCAGTCTCTGCGTTCACTGGACTATGAACAAGTCAAAGAGTATCAAATACGAGTTAAAGCACAAGATGGTGGGTCACCCCCACAAAGTAGTAACACATCAGTTATTGTACATGTACAGGACCAGAATGACAACCCTCCTCAGGTTCTGTACCCAGTCCAGACTGGTGGCTCTCTGGTGGCTGAAATGGTGCCTCGTTCAGCAGATGTGGGCTATCTGGTGACTAAAGTGGTGGCTGTTGATGTGGACTCTGGACAGAATGCCTGGCTCTCCTATAAACTGCAGAAAGCCACAGACAGGGCGCTGTTTGAAGTGGGCTTACAGAATGGAGAAATCAGAACTATCCGCCAAGTCACTGATAAAGATGCTGTCAAACAAAGACTGACTGTTATAGTGGAGGACAACGGACAGCCCTCTCGTTCAGCTACAGTCATTGTTAACGTGGCGGTGGCGGACAGCTTCCCTGAAGTTCTGTCGGAGTTCACTGAGTTGACCCACGACAAGGAGTACAATGACAACCTGACTTTTTACTTAGTCTTGGCTCTGGCTGTAGTTTCCTTCCTCTTCATCACGTGTTTAGTGGTTATTATATCAGTCAAAATCTACAGGTGGAGACAGTCTCGCATCCTGTATCACTCCAACCTGCCTGTCATTCCATATTATCCACCACGTTACTCAGACACTTTGGGCACAGGGACTCTTCCACATGTGTACAATTACGAGGTGTGCAGGACGACTGACTCCAGAAAGAGTGACTGTAAGTTCGGCAGAGCTGGTAGTCAGAACGTGCTGAGGATACAGAGTGAAAAGAGCATCCTGGATGAACCAGACTCTCCGATAGAGGTTTGTTTATGTTTTACATTTGGGCGCTTGTGTGTCAGTAATCTAGCATTGCTAATAAATAGTTTTAAACTACACTTTTGCTTTAACAGTCATGAAGAGAATTTCTTCTATCATCCTGACTGTAAACAGTATCTGTCTGTAAAACAAAGTGTAACAATAGCTCCTCATTTGAAGATGGTTATACAATTTCACCGACTCCACTCAAGACAAAGTAAACACACTGACAAAAACTTTATCTTTGCGTTATACATAATCAGCGAATAGCCCCCCCCCCTCCCCCCCACCCAATAAGTGCAATAACTCAGACCTTGGTTAGTATGGATGACGCTGGAAACTTTGTAGGATACAGTGCAAGCATCACGTCTCCGGTTGATTATATTGGCTTGTGTGAACACTAATATATATATATATTTTTTTCATCAAATGACAATGTTTGTTTTTATGCAGGGTTAATATAATTACGTCTAAATACTGTAGTAGTTACATTCTGAAATGGAAACGGCTCCACTGTCCTGTCACTGTCCTTGGTGCTGAAGTGCTTTGCTCTGAGATGCAGTCGTCATTATTATCGTTGAGATTTCTAAGACTTTGAAGAGGCCATTCATTTAGGATCCACTTGTATGTTTTATTTATAATGCAGTTAATTATATAAATAATAACAAATAAATAAATAAATAAATAAATAAATAATAAAAAACGACAACCCATAACTTCAGATTCATTTAATAGCAAGCAAGTTTTGCGTTATTATCATTCGTTCTTCTTTAAAATTTACAGGTCACTAGCAATGTGTATTTTTTATGTCATAAGGGGACATGTGACAGTAACTTTGAAATCCGCTGTTATCAAAAAATGTTTTAAAAAGAAAAAGAAAGAGGAAAAAGAGAAGAAAGTGCCAGTGGTCTTTTTGCTTTGTGTCACACACTTTTTGCTTTTTTCCAGTTGAATTAATCTTTTTCTAACAGTGAAAGTCAGTATTTTCTGCATTCTTTAATTCACTTAACAGACGTACGTGCCTTCAAAGTGAAATCATTACGTTATTTCTACAGAGATAGTGTGCAGAGTGATGAACGTGGTCATTGGCTTTTCTAGTTTCATATTATACCCTCTAAGTGACGCTGTTGCCTGGTAAATCTATTCTGCAATGCATTTCGAGACAGGGCTGTTTCCACCCCCATCACTGCGTTTTGTAACGGCAGATGATCTGCTTTTCATAGGAGCTGGATCAAATAGAATACACACCTGCTTTTTTATTTAACGTCATATATCGACGTGTGTGAGTCTTCCTCTCTAAGTTAAAGCCCTCGATCCATTGCTCGGTTTTGGTTTTTAAGACCTGTTTTCAAAAATGGCATTTGGAGTAGAACATCGAGACCGAGTTGTAAGATGGCGAATGCGACTTACAGCCAGCCTGTTTGTTTTTCACGTCCTTTTTCTTTATCGAGCGGAGGCACAGATCCGATATTCGATCCCAGAGGAGCTGAAAACAGGGTCCCTTGTTGGAAATGTGGCACAAGATCTTGGCTTGGATCTAAAAAGGCTTCGTTCTGGACGGGCCCGTATCGTTACGGGAGAAAGCATTCAGTACACAGAGCTGAAAACAGACAAAGGGACTTTAGTTGTGAATGAGAGAATAGACCGAGAGCAGCTTTGTGGGGATTTGACTCCATGTAGCTTTACCTTTGAGATTTTATTGGAAAAACCGATGGAGCTGCACCCTGTGACGATAGAGGTATTGGATGTAAATGATAACGCTCCCACTTTTCAGAACAGTCACTTGGAATTTGAAATAAGCGAATCTGCTGCGCTCGGTTCCCGTTTTGTGCTGGAGAGTGCGGAGGACGCTGATGTTGGGCAAAACAGTCTGCAGAACTACATTTTAACTCCGACAGACAATTTTGTGTTGAAACAATATGTTAATCCGGATGGAAGTAAATATGCTGAAATGATGCTTCAGAAGCCTTTAGACAGAGAGGTACAGCCACGCCTATCTTTAAAACTGTTGGCCGTTGATGGTGGAAATCCACAGAAATCTGGGACAGTAAATATAGAGGTAAACGTACTAGATGCGAATGACAATGCTCCGGTGTTTAATCAATCCTTATATAAGGCCGCGGTGATTGAAAATGCCCCAAAAGGCACGCATGTTGTTACAGTGAATGCGAGCGACATTGATACCGGTTCAAATGGAAAAGTGGCATATTACTTTTCAAAATCAAAGGCAGGGATAGCTGATTTATTCGATATAGATGAAGCTACTGGTCGAATATATGTGGCAAAGGAAATCGACTTTGAAATGGACAAAAAGATTGAGTTCAGAGTTGAAGCGAAAGATCAAGGGGGACTGACAGATTCTAGTAAAGTTGAAATTGAGGTCTTGGATATAAACGATAATGCACCGGTCATTAACGTGATGTCATTCACTAGTCCTGTGTCAGAAGACTCAGCTCCGGGTACCACTCTTGGCATTATTAATGTGAAAGATCTTGATTCGGGTGAAAACGGACAGGTAAGGTGCACGATCGAAGGCAGTGTTCCTTTTAAAATTAAATCCAATGTGAGAAGTTATTATACACTGATAACTGATGCTGCCTTAGATCGTGAAAGTTTGTCAGAATTTAACATCACCGTTATTGCCTCAGACGCGGGCTCCCCTCCGCTGTCAACCAGAAAAACTTTTAATCTAAAGGTGTCAGATGTTAATGACAATTCCCCAAAATTTCCTCGAAATTTTTATAGGGCTTGGATTGTGGAAAATAACTCTCCTGGTCTTTCTATCATGACTGTTAATGCTAAAGACCCCGATGAAAACCAAAACGCCCGCGTTTCCTACATTTTGGAAGATTGTGAGATTAATGGGTCTCCAGTATCTGAATACGTTTCTGTTAATGCAGAAAGTGGAGTGGTGCATGCAGTGCGTTCGTTTGACTATGAGCAAATCAAACAACTGTTATTCATTGTAAAAGCGCAGGATGGAGGCTCTCCTCCACTAAGCAGCAATGTGACTGTGAAAATAATGATCCAAGACCAGAACGACAACCCCCCTCAGGTTCTGTACCCAGTCCAAACTGGTGGCTCTCTGGTGGCTGAAATGGTGCCTCGTTCAGCAGATGTGGGCTATCTGGTGACTAAAGTGGTGGCTGTTGATGTGGACTCTGGACAGAATGCCTGGCTCTCCTATAAACTGCAGAAAGCCACAGACAGGGCGCTGTTTGAAGTGGGCTTACAGAATGGAGAAATCAGAACTATCCGCCAAGTCACTGATAAAGATGCTGTCAAACAAAGACTGACTGTTATAGTGGAGGACAACGGGCAGCCCTCTCGTTCAGCTACAGTCATTGTTAACGTGGCGGTGGCAGATAGCTTCCCTGAAGTGCTATCGGAGTTCACTGAGTTGACACATGACAAGGAGTACAATGACAACCTGACTTTTTACTTGGTCCTGGCTCTGGCTGTAGTTTCCTTCCTCTTCATCACGTGTTTAGTGGTTATCATATCAGTCAAAATCTACAGGTGGAGACAGTCTCGCATCCTGTATCACTCCAACCTGCCTGTCATTCCATATTATCCACCACGTTACTCAGACACTTTGGGCACAGGGACTCTGCCACATGTGTACAATTACGAGGTGTGCAGGACGACTGACTCCAGAAAGAGTGACTGTAAGTTCGGCAGAGCTGGTAGTCAGAACGTGCTGAGGATACAGAGTGAAAAGAGCATCCTGGATGAACCAGACTCTCCTCTGGAGGTTTGTCATTTCATATAGACACATCTGTTCCTTATCCTTTATGTAATTGCTTCAATGAAATAGCTTCTCAATGTTGCAAAATTTCCAGCAACAAGAACAGAGTCTTAGTTTACATTAGCAGTCAGGTAATTCTAGGTTACCACAATTGACACATTCTCCACACATCCTCCAGAATAATCAGGGGTAGAGGCCAATATTTTTCTTTTAGTATAAATAAATGGGTTTTAATGTTCTAAACATGTCTTTGCAGTGTCTTCTGACATTTTGTTTAATGATATTATTTGGTTTCCACAACATTCTAAAGAACGAGACTACCCTGAAAGTTTAGTAAAAAACATTTTAATGTTAAGCAGAGCAATCATTCACACATATCTTAATAGCATTCTTATGTTATGTCTTTCCCATGAAAACATTTCATGACAAGACAGTTGAGTGCCAAAATATTTTCTAGTGATTCTAAATTACTCATTATAAGATCCTGAGGACACATGAATTATTTTAGCAAATGATATATAGATTTATACATACATTCCTTAAAAAGTAATACTTCCGTTTTCTTTCTCTTTTTTCCTTTTTTTTATTTTTATTTTTTTTATTTTTTGTTGCAACGGTTTCTTCTGTTTACCGGGTTTAGAAATTACTTGAATGATAATCTCTCATTATTCTAGTGGGTCCATTTTAACTATATCTCCTCACAAAATTCGTTGCGACATACATGCTGAAGTGAAAATATTTTATTGAACATGGTGTTTTGATATCATTTCATATTGATTTCCACGCAAGATAAAATGTGTTGATGTTGGGTTTGCGGTGTTGCTTCTGAAATTCAGGAATCATATGACTTCCACGTTTTATACTCTAAGGGACGCTGTTGGCCAGTTAAATATTTTCGGTCTTTCGTTGTCATCCAGTCCATCCCCTCAGTGATCATACATTAAGGGCAGCTCATTGTCTTTTGTCAAGATTTCGTTTGAACGAGGACTCACAACTTTATAAAGGTTGTTGACAATTGTAAATGTAGCTTCAGGGATGATAGACTAGGACATTATTTAAACTACCTGAACGGAAAAATCGTTCGTTCTCTACATATATATATTCTGTCTGAGTAATGGCGACTTTAACATGCCTGAGTTGCGTATCCGAATGGCGATCACTTTGTGGAGTACGACGTCACATAGGATTTCTTCTGTTGCTGCTTCTTGCTGTTAACATGGTAGGTGGTCAGATTCGGTATTCTATACCTGAGGAGATGAAGAAAGGCTCTGTTATTGGTAATGTGGCGCAGGATCTAGGCTTGGATCTGAAAAGGCTCCGCTCAGGGCGGGCCCGTATCGTGACCGGAGAAAACGTTCACTACACCGAGCTGCAGACAGACAAAGGGATT